TGCCAAGCCATTTAAAATGTCACCTCACCACCAGGAAATGATGTCAGCTGTCTTTTTAATCATTGATATTTCTCAATATTTAGATATTATCTTTTATGTAGGTAAGTCTAGTATGGGATCTATTGATAGAAAAAAAGTAAATACTTATTACGTTAAAATGTTTGAAAATTTATTTTGTTATAAATTATAATCATTTTAATATGATGTGTAGTTTCAAGGTAAAATTATTCTTTATGTTACAACAAAACACTACTAATTAATTTTTAAAGTTATATACTGTCAATTTTTACAAATCGTTTAAACAAATAAAATGTGTATAAAAATGGCCAAGAAATTATGCTTAAAGGATTTTAAAAATTTCTTTTTTTTTTTGTATTATACGTAATTACTAATTATGAAATATTAATTAATTATTTTTATTTGAAAGTTTTGTTAATACATAAAAATGGCTGTGCAATCGACTGGTCTTGGGGTGATAACAAGCAACTAATAAACATACAATATTTTAACAGAAATATTTATAATTAATCTAACAATTTATTTTTTAGAACCGAATTATCCACAATAGCCGACATAGCAAATGAAACATACGATAAATTTTAAGGATAATATAAATTGAAAAATGGTAATGTAGATAAGCAGCCTTTTTAATATACACCTGTATAATGTATTATTAAGTTTCATTTTTTGACCAACTCTTATCAATTTATTTATTTTTTGGATTAATTTGTCTCGGCACTCAATTATTTTAATGTATGTATATATTCATTTTATATGGTTATTTTATAATATATTATTTTATATAGCTTGTACTAACTTTTGTAATTTATTAATTAAAGAACTTATTGTAAATTTGTAGTTGTCTTAATAATAATTTCTAAGTCATAACACCTGCAAGTTGCAACATAAATTAAAATATAAAACATATTAAGTTCGCTATGAGATATGGTTATTTTTAGTTTAGGTATCATAGGATAGCATTATTATTTATTTGATGTTGATTATTGCACCTTGATAAATATTTAGTTTATAATTGTAGTATTACTCACATTTGAAGTATTTTTACATATTTAAGCATAAGTTCTTAAACACCTTAACTGGCCCACTCAACAAATTAAAATAATCAATAGTGATATTTTCACCTATTACATAAAGATTATGGAATCTGGATACCATTGATTTCATAATATAACATCAATGACTCTACCACAAATCCATATCTTTATTTTTTGTTCCGTTGTCAACTATGCGGCATTGTTCATCTGTCGTGTAAGTCTTTATCGGATACTAGCAGCCAGGTACCTTATGTTGCATGAAACTTTTTAGTTTTGCAAGCTCATTAATAATTATTTCTAAGAAATTAATTGATTAAAAACACACCAATGAAAACATTAATAAATAAATAATTTTTTTTTAATGTGTCCTGTGACGTCATAGATAATTGGGATTTAAAATGTTATTCGGTTGATTTTGTTACTTTTAAGAATAAATACACTAATGTATGTAACTTTTAAATTTTAGTCATACAAATTGTGTCATTAAAATTTGGTGTGGCCCAGTGGTTGGCCACAACCACTAATGTGTGCTGCGATTGTGCATTGTCCTCGTCGCAAGCTTCTGGATGGGCAGGTGATCACTGATCACCATAGAGTGATTACTGTATTCCAGTTTATGCCGTTTATGGTGATCACCCAAATTCTTTGTGACAAACCATCCCATAAGGCAATAAACATATGTTTTTAATACAAACCTTTTTCCCCACTAAGTGCTGATGGCCATGGTTGTCGAATGTCGATGCTTGTCCAATAAATAATTCTGTGACTGACTGCCCCTCTGACAATGTTTGCGTACACCTATTTATAGGGTTATTTTTTAATTATTAGGAAACGATGGTTAATTTTGGGCAAGACCCTGTTCGCCCAAAAACGACCTTTCGCTTTTTTCCCAAATATTTTAAAACTACGTTCCCTTTTCGCTCGAAAATATTATAGCACTTTTTGATCACATTTTAATAATTCATAATTTGGGAAACACTTTCTTAAAATTATTCATGTCCAGTATATGTCTACCATGGTCTGTGCCTTGTTGAGTATTATAAAATGAAATTCAAACTGAGGTCAACATTAAATTAAACAGTGTTCATTTACAAACTTGTCCCAAAGATAAAAAAAATATAGATCGACATCGAAAAAATGATCAAAAAGTACAACAATATAAAACAGGAACAATCAATCGGTATGATTTTATTAAATCAATGCCATTTATTTATTATAAACTATAAATTCAATAGTTTTAATATATTTGGGCGAAAAGAGTCCCGTCCCCAAAATGCAACTTCGAACGCGGACGGGAGAGTAAAGGTTACATGTTTGTATAAACTGTAGGTATGTAAATTAATTCGTGAGTGCATTGGCCCAATAGTTCAGGACGTAGGTATGCGATTTGTAAATATTTTAGTGTGGTTCTTTAAAATATAATATTTAACTTTATTATATAATACCTATGACCCACAGAAATATAAATATTGCATTATTAAGAAAAGGTTTACTAAAATATTCTTACTAAATCATGAATTATATATAGGTAACTTATTTAGTCTATATAGGATCGCCACTGACTTTTCAATAAATTAGCATGTATATTTTAAGTAGGTACTGTAAATTGACTCCTATGTAGTTTCACATAGCTGTAGCAATAAAAGTATTATAGCATACTTATTCGTGATATATTTCTGCAGCTGTATTACAATGAATTCGATCGCAGATCGTTTGTAACCTCATTATGTTTATATAAGTATAAGTGTATAATTGTATTAATTTTATGGACTGTATGTACCTATATGTTTATATATATATAATATTCGGTGTACCCTGTACGTATAAGGCTTATATTATTTTAAAAATATGTACCGAATGGGTGATATACTCCATGTATATATATATAAATATATAATATATAATTGTTGTATAGTTTTCGCAGGCCGCATAAATCTTCAACCGGTCGTCTCTGGGTTTGACGCTTTTGCGAGAATAATGTGTACCAACTTTATTTAATATATATATAGAGATTTTATATTAAGTCCAAGTCCGTAACGTTAAACGCCCTTTATGTCCAAGGGGTGATCTCGTGCACGGTGTCCGGCGAGGTCGACGAGCAACACAATATAATATATTATAATATAATGCAGGGCGGGGGAAGGGCGTGCGGTCGCGTTCGGATCAATTATTTCCGCACCCGAGTTAAAACGCACGGCGATTTCCAGCCAATTAGTAGGAAACAACTAATAATTATAATAATAACCATACAATATTGTGCGCAATACTCGTATTTAATACCCTTTAAATCGATCCGATTCACCTACAGACTGCAGTGACTATTAATGATTGTAATACCTATCTACTGCGATAAGATTATATTTTTGGTATTATAATGTATTATAATTATAAATAGGGAGGGTATCTAGGTTGTCATCATCCAAAAACTCACATCAACATCCATATTCAATGCTATCGCTATATTTTAGAGTAGCCCTAATAAATTTAGATTATAGCTAGGAAACAATTCAGTATAGGTATACGCTGGTCTATGTTTATAGTTTATCTATCGGTTATATTTTCCCTTTACTTGCTGATACCTGGCGCCTATTCATAATATGTCCGTACTCCGAATAGGGAGTTGATGCATGATAGGTACATCGTAACAATACATTTATACCAATTTTATTATTTCATACCGTTACCATTGACGAATCAGCAATTCAATTTTTACATTCACACAAAAACTTATTGTTCACTCGTATACTTAGTTGAATTTATGTGGCACCAATCCAATCACGGAAATGTGTTCTTGAGAGTTTTGAAGGTCCTATTCGAGTCTTAGCAGATTAGTTTTGATATTTTATAATTGATATATAATTATATAGTTAATATTTCACAAGTTTTTTTTAAAAATTAAGGTTTTATTTTATAAAATATGATTGGTATTATTAAATGTTTCATTGTATTACTTCAATTTCATATTTTTAAAAAGAGAGTAGGAATCTCGGGAGTACTGGCGAGTGGCGAAAGGATAACGGATAAGTACCTATACCACCAATTTTATTTAAGTAATATGCGTGTGGTAATTTAAATTTTGGCGGAAAAGGGTGAGATGGTACCCGCAATAATATCACGCAAACTGCAGCAGTATCATATCATTATCAGCGTCGTCGCATTACATATAATATGATAAATTATTGCCAAAATAAGTCATACTGCAGGACAGTTGTCGGCTGGAATCACGTAGGGTGGGTGCTTATACGGGCGCCTCACACCGAACGTGAATTTCTTCGGCTTGCAACGTTCAACACACCCATCGGCGGACACAATGAGGTACGCATGTGGGGTGTTGTTGCCCTTGGCTGGTGGTACAGGCGGTAGGCCGAACGTCTTGGCTGGTGAGTGGTTTTTATAAACGTCCGCATCCGTCCAGCTGTAAGCCGCGGGTCCTGGACTTCCGGCATTCGCCGACTCGGTGCCACAAACTTTGGTTCTCCATTTTCTATGGAAACGAGAAAATTAAACCTTATATCTATCTAACGATGTTATATATGCCTTACAAGTGCCAGTACACGATGAATAGATATGGAGAGACGCAGTTTGGTGTAACAATAATGGTGGGAAAGGCTTAGGCCGCCAAAATTATATTTCTGTTTAGCTATCGCGTGGTCACCCTAAGAAGAAAAATGTGCTCACGATGACATGAAGAATCGACTTTCTATTAACTAAAGGTGCGTAAACGATACCTAACCTCAGTACCTCACTCACGCTATACTAACACTACTTAACATTCCTCATTCAGTAACCCACTAACAACTACTTATTGACGATTATTGTATTTTTTTGCAGTTAACTGTAAATACACATGCATCGGCTGCATCTCGGATATGCATTATATCGAGTAGGCGGTATAATTGACTATCTGCAGATGCCAGTGCATAATATGCTAGGTGCATTGTAGACTTACATTGTGTAGCCTTTTCGTCTACTCTTGATCGACGATCGATGCTCGTTGCGCAACATATACGCGTTGGGCGATGGAACAATATTTTTCTGTCTGTCTGTTAGGGGTAACAATAACTTTGGAGTAGGCGCCCGTTTCAAATTCGGATAGCATGGCAGGTAGGCAGCTGGTCCCGGACTCTGTGCGTTGTCCTCTACAGCGGGGTTGTACGACGTTATTATATATTTTTGTGTATCTATATGAACTATTTATTTGTTAATCGAACAGATTTGCGTACACACTTCTATCGAGAATTATTCCAATGTCGATCTTGGCGTTCGTGTATCGGCCATGCCGTGTCGTTCGGTCCACTCTGTACACTGGTCCGGGGCTTGAATCATAAATTGGAAAATCGATTTTGCCTCTTAAAGAGTATGCAGGAGATTGCCAAAAACTTGGGTCAGTTTTCTTAGGCATACCGATCGTTGGAGCAAGGTGATACGCATTAGGCGCCGGACCTTGAAGCCAATGTTTATATCATAATGATAATAAATAAATATTTATTTCTAAAAAAATTATCAAAAATAAAATAAAATATTGAAAACCTGTAACAGCCAACAGGTAACCAAAATAATTAGTCAGCAGCTTTAGAAAATTATCTGTTAAAATTCACTGGAGTTGTTCATTGAAAGTATTATGCACGAGTCACGTCCCGTAAAAAGGTACACACGAATTGCGCCCCAAAAGATCCAGGAATCAATTTGTATATTTTAATCAAAAGTTCTTAAACAATCATTAATCAATAATTAAATAAACAACAATATGTCTGTTGGATCTTGGATCCAATTCATTTTGATGTAATAAAAAAGTAAATCTATCGTTGAATCTAATCAAATGTCAATATGATCAATAATATAATAGGTATACGAGTAGGTAATGAATAAATAAAAAGTATAAAATATATATTCGTAAGTCGAATGTATCAACAAATAAAATATACGTCAAATCACTTGAATTGTATTGAATCCAACCAAAAATCAATAAAAAACAATAAATAAGTACAAACTTAATAAAAATTAACCATAAATCAATCAAACATTAGTAGAAAAATAGGTTTATACTTTTTTGATACCTATACCTATGTTTTTTACTAAGTCCAACTTTACTGTTTTATTTTCATTTAATTGTTTTTAATCTGATTTGTTTTGCAATTTTTCATATCGAGCTAGATATACATTATTCGGGAAACAAAATCAGTATTATGTTTATCTTAATGTACAATATATTTCGCAACATAATATTAGAGCCCTAAAAAAAGTATGCCAGTGGTATAGTACCACCTAGCTAATATTTTGGGACTTAATTCTTGTATATTTTTTTTTACAGGACGCAACTAAGGTTCACCTATATATTAATATAAAAATATGACAATAGCAGATTTTCGAAAACTTTCCGATTATCTATTTTTTTGAAAACGAGTTAAGCCCTGTTAATAAAATAAAATTATGTATCAATAACATTTGTGACAGAAAAACTAATGAATTATATTTTTAATACATGATAAATATTCTTTTCCATATTCATCTAAGTTCACCCCTATATGGGAAAAATTAATTATGAAAGGTGATTTCCTATGAACTGAATAACTATGATGATTATAATAATTTGATCTATAATTAATAATAATAATATTACTATTCATATAGCCCATATAGGTATATCAATTTCTTATTGTATAATGTTTATAGTCTGTATATATTTTAGTTTTTACTCATAAAAATATAAACTGTTTTACCTATGGAGGTATCCGTATTTTCTAAACATTTGTCATACGACTCGTTCGTCATTTTTAAAAATTTCTTCAAATTATAGATGTTAAATAAAATACGAAAAAAATGTTCAGTTTATTTATTGATATATTTCTATAGAAATAACTTATGTCCTTTAAAATCAACGGAATGACTTAAATTTGGTTTATGATCGCATGCAGGTATAAAATATGAATTTATTATTATTTATAATTTAATATTGAATTACGGCTTAGGTAGGTATAAAGCGTAGAAGAAAATATTTTGAAGTTAGTTGTTACGATATTAGTTTCATTTGCATACATTTATCATAACAACTGCATTAATTATTACCCAGCAATAATACAGCATTGACGATTGACCACCATAGCTAACCATAGAATTAACAGGGGCGAAAATGGCAAGGCTGCAACTATTTCATTTTTTACTTATCGTTTACATTTGTATTAATATTTAAAGGTAAACCTCGGACATAAACTCGAAATTCGATTGAATGCGTGTCATTCGGTGACTATCACCCAACATGATAATACTAGATACCAGGCAGGTGTGCAATTTGTTTTCTATTTTAATTCGGTCTAGACGGATTTGCGGTGTTCCAGAGACATATTATACAGCTTATTGCGTAATAAATATGCAGGTGTGAAAGTGTGAAAATCTAGTGATCATAAATATAATATTACAGTCATATTATTCTGGATGCCACATAATATAAAGACCACTTGGCACTTATCGTACAATGTATGTTTGGAAACAATCGTGTACGGAGCGCGAAGGCATTGGTGTATGGTATATTTAATAGTGAGTACATAAAAAGTATAATCGCATGCGCGTTATGTATGAGGTTAGTCTTCGTTCTCGTATTTTATTTGCTCGTAAAAAAAAGTCGCGTTTACGAAAATTATTATTGTATACACTACCACTGTATACAGACAGTTTGCATGATGTAGGTACGTTCTGCAGACGGTGGACGATTAGCAAGGAGTGTAATATTATTGAACAGTGAGCGCGAGGGACTACGTCTATCGGACTGTGAGAACTTCGGCGCGCCATATATATTATTATATATTTTTACGAGTGGTTGAAAAAAGGAAAAATAATCGTCGTCGAAACGTATTTATTTTTTTACCATCATTATTATTCCGTATGAATGAAACCCACTCGTAATCCATCAGACAAATCCGCGAGGTTTCCTGCAGCCCCGCAGGTGACGACAACGAATAACGCCGCACAAGTATATAGGTACATCCTATCCTAAAATGTATATACCTACACACACACACACACACACACACACTCACATAATATTATATAATAATAATCGTGTACATCCAAATCGCCTTGTTACATTCATCTATGCTGGTGTGACGTGTGTGTGTGTGTGTGTGTGTTAACCGAGTAGGTATATACTCGGTGGTGTATTTAAACCACGGGGACGTATAAGTATATATACTTAATTCAGATTGGAAGGGTCGGGGGGGGGGGGGCGGGGGTAAACCACAGACTGCGTATTCCAAATACGTGCGAAAACCGTCATCATATAACGCGTTTATTGTGGTCGACACAATGATGCACCACTTATTATTATTATAATATCGTATATACATAATATGCAGTATGCCTTAGGAGAAGAAGTAAATCGAATTGCGGCCAAACGCCGATATTGTTCAAACAGGGCCCGTGTGAGAGGTGTTTTTTTTTGATCGATCCAAAATGGACATGACTCCTGTAGTCGTCTACCGCACGGCCTCTGTACACCGATGTGTATAGGCAGGCACTCATAATAATATATATCTGCAGCGTGTTTTCTCAGGTGCTCGCACGAATCACTGTCACCGCTCGTCAAACTGACCACACGCATCCGGCTGGAATTATTATACAATATATTTACTATACACCTTCGTACCACTCGTATACTCGCTGCACTCATCACACCCCGCATATTATATATATGTGCACGTATGTATATTGTGCGTGCGGGCTGCAGCAGGTAACAGCCACGTACGCGCATGTATATCCTTTAAATATAATATTATTATATCGTATTGTTCCGTAGTACAAACATTTATCCAGGGGCTATATTATTATATAGACGATCGTTTATACAGCAATGCTTTTTCGTATGTATTATATATATACGATATACCTATGTATAATGTGCCTGAGATACGTGTAAAAGTAGATATTATGCACTATGCACGATTGCACGAATAGTACCTATTATAATATATATGAATGATAATAACATAAAATAGTAGTGAATATCGATGTATCCCAATTCGGTCGAATGTATAATATAGCAAGTCTAACTCATATTTTTAACTGCACGCCTCACGCGTGCCATCGTCAATTATAAACTGCACCGCAAGTCTTTATGTACCTACCCATATATCATATCGTGATGGGATATTGGGATGTTTTCGAAAACTCTAAAAAGTAGCTGAAAATTAAGTTACATTAAGTACATGAACGATATCCAATAATAACAGACAATACTATTCAATAGCAAAAAACGTCATAAATTACTCGGCTGCAGCAAGAACATTACGCGCTATAGGCGCAGGGTCGGAGTGGCCTACACTATAGACTGGCAATAGCCAGTGAGGTTTCCTCGTATGGATAGGAATTCAGCACCGAGTGTGCCCTCATACCTGAATTGGGCTCTCTGTCGATTCACGGATGCTTCTCATTTAAGATGAAAATATTTATGATATTATACATAGGTTTGTATATAATATATACGAAAAAGCATAGCTGTATAAACTATATCAATATCACCACAATAAACAAAGGCATATAGCTTTTGAGGTGGAGGGTGGAAACCAAGTGTATTTTGTGCACTTGTGTCACATGCATTTTATTCAATTAATTTTTGTACAATTGTATCCAAATATGGGCCCTATTCAGGCTACAGCGAATCATGCAGGGTGCGTGCCTTGGAATACCCGGAACACCCTGTAGATATACACCTATACTAGTGTGGGGAAATCAGAATTTTAATTTTTAAAACGTAAAATATGAACTGTTGATTTATATTCAATTACACACAAGTGCCTATTTATTTTGATAGGTTTATAAGGGACAATATACATATTTGTGTTATCAGTTCTCATAAATATGATCGTATCGGTTGGAACTTCGGGCTCTGGGAGTATCTATTTTTAGAACTGTACAATGTTTATTGTACATGCAAAACCTCCATTGTCTGGTGAACATTTGCAATCGGTACATAATGGTACATATTTCGTTTCAAAATATAATTTATCATTATCACGAATAAAGATTATTGAATTCAACATTATCAAAATATTAAAATAATATCTTAATACTTGGAGTTTTTAAAATCGAATTTATAGTATGAAGCAGGCAGACTAAATCACGATTTATCTAATTAAAATAAATAATAATATAATATGAATTGTAAATAACTAGGTACTTATACTCAGAGATAGCCATTGGAAAGTATTTTAATATTTTTATAGGTAAATAGTTGTGCTTAAAATATATTTATATAAATTATTAATAAAACATATTGTTATCATTGTTATTATAATTTATTTATAAAAAAAATGCTACTAAGTTATAAAATTAATTTACATTTAATATTTAATTGATAAACAACTATCATGTGTTTTGAAAGGTTATTGAAAAATTAAACAGTGATTTACA